CCCTGATAAAAAGATTTGGCTATTTCGTCGCATCTTGTGCGATGTTTTCGCGTCTATTTGCAGGAACCATATAAGTTCCCTCATCTCATAAAGAGAGACATCAAAGTATCCCTCTCCGATTTTAATAAATTTTAAGTATGTTGTTTTGCAGACAATGATAAGTGGGAGATGTATTTCTTTATATGTGCCGGTTTGCACTTTTAAAGAGTGAAACAATCCTTATAAAAAGAAGTTATTCTATTTCAATGCGAATATCGTTGAAACTATGAAAGATGAAAAAAAAATTTTTAATAAAAATTAAATGGTTTCAAGAGTACTTTATAATAATTGTTTTTAAATTTGTTTAAATAAAAAGATTTTTATTTATAAAAATATTAAAAAAAATTTTTTTTAATTATAAATATTACGTACCCTTAAAATTATTTAACTTTTATTTGAAACATTTTTTCTATCTTTTATAATTCACTTCGAAATAGTGTGTTATTGATTTTTTTTTAAGAGGGGTGTTTCCTTAAAAGTACGCGAACAGGCACGTACAAAAAAATACGTTCCTTATATTTTTGTTTAGAAAACAACATGTTCAAAACCCATCAAAATTGGAAGAAAAAATTTCGTCGCTGTTCTTCGATTAAAAACGAGCTCTTTACGTATCTTACGTCTCGAGATTACCGTTCAGTAAACTATCTCACAACCACGTATATCGTGATGACAATTAATAATCAATTAGTTAATACGTCAGCGTAAAGCCTATGTCAGACTACGCATTGGAAATTAAAAATTGCGAATTGAAAATTAGAATTTGATTTATCAGATAATTTTAATTTTAATCCGTGTGTTTAATTTTAATTTTTAATTTACAATCCTCAATCGCCAATGCATAATCTGATATGAATTTCAAAATTGAGCATTGTGTTATTTAAATTGTGTTCGAAATTTTGTGGAAAGTTATTAGACGAGAAGTTAATTCTACTATTAAAAAAAATTTGTATCATTTAATACTTTAGTAACCCGTAAAAGGAATACATATTTTTGAAACGTTAAATGAATATAATATCCTTGAGACTCACTAAAGTTTTTTTGTTATCAATTTTAGAAGACTCGAAAAAATTTTCAATTAGATTATATAAAAAATTGTAACATTTGAAATTAGCTTATGCTAATATATATATATATATATATTTATATACATATATTACGATAAACTTAGCTTACATGAATAGAATAAAATTGTAAAAAATAAGATTGTGAAACATAAAATTTTTCCAAATTATTATATTATTTAAAAATTAGGAAAAAATATTTCAGGATCATACATTCTGAATTAATAACAATAAAAAAATATTTTTTTCTTATTTTTAATTTCTATATAATTTCTATATTTTTAATTTTTATTTAATTTTTTATTGCATTATCAACTATATTAATTCTCTATTTCAGTAAAGAATCGTAATTACATTTTTCCAATTTGACTGTCATATCATGAAGTTACCACTTGGTCCATAAATTTTCACGAACATCTTGCATATGATTTAGCGATTCGGGAATATTTGCAAATTTTTTGCGGGATTTTCACGAAAATGGCGGCTGTCATACGATGGTTATATGTGACCCTACGGGATGAAAGGATTTTCGAGATGGATTTATGACGGCGCAAAATGATCCAGTGTCATCCTCCTACGTATGTACGTCGAGTCCCCGTTTGCACTCTACGAATTCCCACGGATTACGGCAAGAAAATCGATTGAGCTCGCTGATTGTGGACTCGCTCAAGAGACATTCGCATACGACGTAATATACCTACGTCTAATCGGTCATAATATATATCTGCAGTCTCTTTGTCAATTATTCATCATTTCTGTTATTCATGCGCAATAATATTAATCAGATTATGGGTTTATGTATTAGAGTCTTAATCAAATTTTCTGTAAATTTCCACGTGGAATTAGATGTCGGTTAATATGTATTTTCAAACAATAAATTAAAGATTTTTGTATGTAATTTTGCTTGTAAGTTTTATTAAAGTAACTCATAATATAATAAAAATTTGAGGAAGTATAAAATTATTTTTAGCAAAGTAATAAATAAAAGGTTGGTGGTTCTGCGTATTGTCAAAATTATTTTTAGCAAAGTAATAAATGAAAGGCTCTGCGTATCTTTCTGATTCAATAATTTATTTTCTATTTTAAAGAAATTTCAAAACATTTAAGAGTGTCAGCAATATTGGTTAACTTCGAGAAGCATAATAAATAATAGAGACTTATAAAATTTGTTTTAAACTTTTTATATATTATTACTTCTTTAATATTAAATACTGAAAAATAGACACTCTTTCCATAAAATGTATTTTTATAAAATTTTTATATTTCTGTGTTTAAATTATTACAATTTTACATTTAAAAAATGTATACAAACTCACTATTATTATTTATATTAATATTCATTTACATTATTAATTAAATTAGATTAATATTATACAATTCAACTTCAGTTTTTGTTAAATAATCACTCAGATTTTATTAACTGGAATGAATTATTAAAATTTTATGAACCAAGAAATCGTTGAAGATTCTGTAATATTTTATTTTATTTTCGTACGTTAAAAAGAACGTAATGCAGAATATTTTGTGTATTTTATCAAATTTAATACGAAGAATGTAAGTACAATGGTTATTATATTCAAAGAGACATTCAGCTATTTTGGCATATTTAATTACAAACATTTCTGAAATGTTTTTCATTGTTTCTTTTTTGCAAGACTAATTGTTATGTACATAATTATAGTATACATAAATGCTTTAATAAATTTGAATATTTGCGAACATATCAGAGGCGTACATTTCCTGGATATTTCTGACGTTATTACTGCTGATGATTCAAGATGTATTATTATTATTATTGTTGTGTTAGTAATTATTATACATTTATTTGTTATATACATTAAACATTATTGTGCCAAACTTTTGCGAAATATGTTGCTTTTGGGACAAATTTTATGAACAGTTAGATTTTAACTTCACGTGTTAACATTCGTGGCCCCGTATACGCAAATAATTATTCATTTATCTTTTTGCAAGTTATTTAAACTCAATTTAAACTATTGCATCTTGAAAATATACAGAGAATGTGTGATTATATATTGCTACTACTTCCAATCGTAAAATAATCGAGTACGAGTCTGTAATCAATTTGAGAATGATTTCCCTTGAGTAAACGCTCTTTATTGGATGCTATTCTTTTATTTTTTAACATTTAATCTCAATCGTTTTTCCGTTATCAAATTGAAATTTTCTTAGAATTGAAATTTATTTAAAATTAAAGAAATAAAAACTGTCTGTATTTTTTGCGATAAAGAACTTCTTAAAGAACGCTTATAAATGTAACAACATTTTTTCTGGTATAGTTTTTTATGTGTACAAATAAATCAAAATGAATATCGCGCGACAATTTTATGAGAGTCAATGTCCAACAAAAAACTATATCTCTGTCTTCGTTTCAAATGTTTATATAAACTTTGGCTGCGTTTCATAAAGCGCACGATGTGTGCATGTATCATTTTATTCATCAAATTAAACGGATAAAATGGGTGCTATCCAGCAAGAGACATAGATGACACAGTGTAACATAATATGAATTATTATCATATCCTAAGCAGGACAAGTCATTATGATATCAAAATGATGTCAAAATGACTCCAAAACGATTATTAAATCATTATTCAATTATTTCCAATTAATTTTAATATCATTTTGACGTTATTTTGCTTGGGATTGGTATAGATTCAGAAATTTATCAAGGGGGACATTGACCCGCAAGCGAAATTTTTTATACAAAGATAGAATTTTAAATTATTATTTAAATTATTATATTGAAAAGGTATTATTTAAATGTATAATTTATAAAACATTTTATTTAAAATTACATTACAAGAAGCATTCAGCCACGCGCAGGATGTTTTTTGCGAATGTCGTATATTTAAAATTCTCTCTTACGTTAACAATACAAATTAAAATAAATAATATCAATAATTCATGCATAATCGTAAGATTAAAATAACAATAAAAAATTTTTGAATTTGTATTGTTGACGTAAGAATTTTAAATATGATATTTGCAAAAAACATCTTGCACGCGGCTGAATGCTCCTTATATTTTATATTTGTAATTTGCGAGCCACTTGTAAATTTATAAAGTTAAAATTACATTAACACAAGAGAAGAAGAATATATATATATATAATAAAATGTATATTTTTTATATGTAGGAGTTTCTTAAAAATTAAAAAATATTTTTGGAATATCAAAATTGTGATTAAGTATTTCAGAAATATTAAAAATAACAGTTTGCTATAAATATTTTTCAAAAAGGAGACTCCAAAAGAGGTGACCATGGTTCCTCCGTAGATCAGTCATCATTATATCAATGTTTGCCAATGTTAAACAAAGATGAAACGATAACTGTATTACACTGTGTTTCTTGCTGGATTGCACCAAATGATACATCATGCAATTGCACTTTGCGGAATCAAGGATTTATTGGATGCGATGGCGCCACTAGTTGTATGATCGACGCCTTTTTTACAGTAACGGATTAATACAATCAATCGCCCCGAGAAGGCACAAAATAATTTACCTGGTTCCAATTTAACGTGACGTTACAAATGTTGATTTACAAAAATATCAATGAAACTTATGGCGTTTTCAGCCTGACCGAGTTTGCAGAGTTTGCACCAACCTGGATTGAATTAATGATGTTTCGTGCTCTCTTACTGGTAGAGTGTGTAACCTCAACCAATAGCAAAGCATTTTCCAATCCAAGTTGGTGCAAATTCTGTCGGGTCGAAAATTATTAATACTATATTAATTACATTTAATTACTTTTTAATAATTGATAAACTGCCATAGAATCAGCGCGACATTTCAAATTTTAAGACCTGAAGCTGAAGCCTCATGATGAGGCTTAATTCCTTTCGTGATCCTTCTACGATTCGTCACTGGCGCATTGATTCATCAGCTGCGTTTAAACTTTAAAGTGGTTTAAAGTAGCTCGCGTCTCGATTGTCGTCCCGCGATAAGACGTGCCCGCGCTATCTCTTCCGAGATGCCGAATTTTACGAAGTGGCATTTCGCGCTAATCATTATCACCTGCGTGTCGCTCGGTAAGTGATCGAGATCCCAAAAACGCCCTCCCTTCGTTTCTTCGAACGATATTTTTGTGCCTGTAGGCCACGCCCTGGAGTGCTACGTTTGCACGGATCAAGAGGGTAATCAAGAAAAATGCCTGAACACCATCAAAACCTGTGAACCGGAAAACGATACTTGCCTTACGGAGATTAAATGGGGCAGTAAGTGAAAGCATTTCTCCACCTTGCGTCCTCCCATGTTTTTGAGGTTATGTACGGCGTTGTGTGTGCCTTCAACATATCAGTTTTTCAATTTATAAATCAACTGCTATCATTTAATCGTTCTTTATTAAAGACGATAAGAACATACTTGATTAAATAATTTGATATCGATATCTCTTGGATGGGAGAGAGCCTGAGCATTTTTTTCAATTACGAAAGTATATTTTAATTGAAAAAAGATAACCTAGTTAAAGAATTGTATTTGATTAGGTACATCACTGATAAGAGAGGCAGTGCACATATAAGAGGTCGATTTTTTAAGCTAAACTTGCGCTTGATTCTTTCTCTTTTTTTACATGGAAGTTAAAAGAGAAAAGAGATGAACTGTGCAAAAAGTTCAACTGAAAAGAACAAACCTATTATTCTTGGGTCTGTTCTTTTTAGCTAAAACTTTTTGCACAGTTTATTTTTTCTTTTTTTTTCCTTCAACGAAGAGAAAAGGAAGAAAGATGAACGATGCAAGAAATTTATATATTATAGAAAGAACAGACCTCTGATAAAGGCTGCTGATTATAGGTACACCATATTGGTCTCAGGGGGCCAAGAAACAATTTTACGTCTCTAAAAGATGTGCCTCTAAAAAACATTGCGAGAATCTGCAACGCTCTAATATGCCTGATTGTACTCATATCTGGTATCAGGACTGGAAGTGTTCTTCTTGTTGCGGAGGCGATAGGTGTAACTACTATGTTATTGTAAGTATAAAGTATTTGATTGGTAATTTGAAAACAATACAATGTAAGTACTTTATTTTTTATTTCAGTCTGGTGAAAACGAAAGGAAAGTACATAATGGAATATTTGTCATAACAATCTTAATTTCCTTGTTGGGTGCATCGAGATTTCAATGACAGAAGTTCTGCAGAAATTATTAGCTAACGTTTTAGTCAGCTAATAAATCCATTGATCAATCTCATTATTGCAGACTGAATACGTACAGACCCCTTTTTTAATACAATAATTAACGCAAGCAATATTAAGATTGTATACGCAAGATAATTTTACAATTTTGTAAACGTATGAATGTATTATGTTTTAAATTGATCTTAAATATTTTACAAATATACCGACATATAAGATGTCTCGGAATATTATTTTTGCATTAGTAATCTTATGCACTAATTTTATGATTACTAATATATATATATATGAAGATATATACAGATATGTATATACATAAGATATTTACTCGACATATCATCATTCAATTAAACATTCCAGAAATTTTTATTGCAAATTTAAATTTGTGTGATGTATATAAAACTGTATTATACAACGTACATCCGTTCGCTTGAAACAATGCTCTGTTATGAAATATTATATTTATATATATGTATGCTTGTGTATATGTGTGTATGATATTACTATGATTTATATATTTTTTAAATATTTTTGTTATATATACATATTATACATAATCCGTCCATTTTACACGTTAAAACTATATTTACAACTAGCAATTGAATTTTAAATGAAAATAGCAATTTTATGGAAATGAATATTTGCAAAAATAGAAAAGTTTAAATGTATTTAAATTGCATTTGTCATTAAACCATTTTTTCCAAGCTTGCAGAAATATCTCGAGGGGAATGCTCGGAGATATCGACATATCTTCTTTACGATCGTATTATCACACGTGAGTAGAGGATAATTAATCGGTATCTTGTTCGGCGATAAGGAGAGTAAAGAGAATAGTTACATTCGTAAAAACAATTTCAAGATCGTATGCAATATAACTGACAGTATCGCTCAGGTACGATTGCACAGTAACTGCGCCGAAACGGTCGTGCGCACATCTGATAAAATTTTTGTAGTCTCCGACCAAGATATACGTCGATATTTACTGTAAGTGTTATCTACTAAAAAACTGTGTTGCGTATAAAAAAAAAATGATTGTGCTAATTCTTAAAAACCGTGAATTGTTTATGATGACAGATTTTGGGTGTACCAAATATTGTGTATTCGCAATAAAGTCCGTTGCTATTTTTTGCATTCATGATTCAAACAAACAATAGCGTTGTCTTATATATATAATCTTTGCGTGTTATTAATTTATTATTTAATTATGTCGTTTAAATATATATGAATTTGGAAACAGTACAAACCGCCTGCATAAATTGCTATTCACGTAACACGATTTACATGAATAAAAATATTAAGTTAAATTAATTTAAATCATTTTATAGATTAATTTTGTATATACTTAATTCATACGAAATTAACTTTATAACATTTGTAAAAAGCATTTACATCTAAATATTAATTCAATACTTAATTCAGCTAGGAAATAATTGAATCGTTCTACATAAATACTTAGACAAGGAACTTGGATAAAAGTATATTCATATATTACATTAATTATTTTCTTAATAAAATATTCTTAATTGTAGTCTTTAGTTGTGCAATTTTTTGCTGTATAAATAATATATTTTTAAATAATAGTAAAGTCTTCCTAATTCTAAATTCGAAACTCAGAGATAGATACATAAACTAATGTGACGTACAAAATTAAAAAATTTGTGAAATTGACCTGAAGTATATGTACACCATGAGTGCAAACATACGATCATGTGATGCATCCGAGCGTGGTACTTTAGAAACAAAAAATAATGTATTTAGTCCAGCACATAATCCATTTTGCACGGTTTTACAACAAGTATCACTGTTTTCATATATACTTAGCACGAATACTTATATTTATGATAACTTAAAGATTATATAACAAAAACACGTTAAGAGGTGGGGAAAATGGAAGCTCGTTTATTGCGCACACAGTAGATACGATAGATAGTGCTTTCTATATCAGACAATTAACATACTGACAACCCACTAATGGTCTTCCAGAAGCTACCGCTACGTACGGAGCTACTATATGTATATGTACAACTAATATATACCACGGATAAACAAAATAATATGTTCGCTGGTGAATAAGAATCGGTTATTTATCATGAATACGTACATTGAAAAATAATGTTATACCAATAGCATAAAACACAAATACGTGTCACGTTTTTTAATAAAATTTTATTTATGTTATTAGTACAGTTATTGAATTAATATGACTTTTATAAATTAATTGAAGATATGAAATAATATTATTTTTTTAATTAAAATAATATTATCGATATAACATCATTTTTTTTCAATGTAACAATAATGTTTATTTGTTTTTCTCCTTCAATTTATTTGTTATTATTTTTTTAATGTACATTCGCAACTCATTCCGTATCGCGACAACAAAGTGATAGCTAATTCCACTATATAATGACAGGATTAATAAATAGTTGTATACTTCGATTAAATTCTGTCGAAAGGAAATTAAAAGTTTTTTAATCTCGATCCAATTCATTTGTATATTTAATTTTTGGTCGGTATTGATTGATCGCTTCATTCGATCGTATTTCTGGAACCTATCGGACTTTAATTTTAAAAAATTCAATTGCACTGTTATTGTCATACATTATTAATGTACCATTAGGTCTGATCGCGTTACTCGTACATTTTTTGCACTCAGCATCTTTGTTTTCTCTCTTTTCAACGCCAAAATATATATCTATCTCATTTTAAATTCAAAAATTTTTGGAGGTTCAAACAACGCGATCAGACCTTTTAATTATGCGCATTATTACTTGTCTTCTTCCACCATGATTACGCGTAACATGCGATTGGTTTCTTTTTTATTAATCTGACAGGTTCTAAAAGTATGCGATAATATGAAACAATTAATGTGATGAAATTTAATATCGACCAAAAATTAAATATACGAGTGAATATCGGATCGCGAGATTAAAAAACTTTAATTTCCTTCTTGGAAACGTTTAAGACAACTGAAAGATGAGATGGCGACGCTCGTATTCGCATTGAAGAGTTGATGGTTAACCGTAATAAATATAGATAGAAGATTACTTGTAGAAATGCCCTTCTACGAATCGACGAGACAATTCGGCCAATTAAATGAGAAGAAGCGTCGAAGAAGAAGCGGCACATCGCACATTGTCGCGTGATTTATATAAAGGCATTTTAATTACGTCTTCTTAGTCGCGCGCTGACTGTTCAACGGACAGTTCGTAAAATTTGTTTTTTAACTTTCTTGTACTTCCTCGCAAAAATGGATTTCGCTTTGACAAAACTCATTGTGGTAAGTCGTCTATTATTTTGCAAATTGTGCTGGCCACGTGTATACATCAATTTTACGAGTCGTATTTATAGAAACATTAATGCTAAACGAGAAGACGTATCTAAAACGATATAAATAAATTATGAGAAAATAATTCTTATTCACGGAATTAATTTATGTTTTATTAAAAAGGTAGTCGATAAACATTATTGTGTCGATACTGAATAATTTCAACTTGGTATATTTTTTTAATCTCCTGAGTTTGCTGAAAAATAAATTATAATATTCCCAATTAATTTTTTATTAATTTCAAATATTTTTTTGGTCTATTTAAATTATTAATTGTGTGTATATTTTTTCTAGTTATATAAAATGAAGTGGAAATTACGTGACTTATACAAGGCATTTAGTCGTAGGAAAGTGGTAGACAGCACTGAAGAAAGTACTTTGGCGAGAGTCTTGTCAACTCTTGATCTCACAGCTTTAGGAATTGGCTCTACTCTGGGAGTAGGTGCATACATTTTGGCAGGATCTGTCGCAAAGAAACATGCTGGACCTGCTGTGGTCATTTCATTCGCTATCGCCGCGGTAGCATCAATGTTCGCAGGTACGCATTTACAAATATCATTGTTTTTCAATTGAATAAGAGAACCATTCGGTAAACATTATCGATTTCTTTTTCGTATTATGAAAGATTCAATTAAAACATAATTTTGAATACATCTTTAAAAAATTTTAATTCTTACGGCTGTTCTACAATGTGCTTCTTGTTTCCTGTTTCTTGCTGTTTGTCTCTGTTTGTCTCTTGTCTTTTTGATCAAGAAGGCAAGAGACAAACACCAAGAAACAGAAAACAAAAAGTATATTGTAGAACAGCCATTAGACTTGATAAAAAAAACATAAAAAATTAGACATTAAATATTGAGTCAAATAATAGACATGTGGTCTGTATCTTCCAGTCTGTATCTACAATCTCGCTGTTATGAGCAGATCTCAATTCCGGCGATATAAATATGCAAACTATGCAGATTATGATAACAAAATCGCTGATGCTGCTTCGAGACGCGATATATTTGTTTCATTTGAGAATTTCGTTACCTGGTTTAAAGATTCCTGGAAAAGAAATCGATACAAAGAGATTCGGATAACCTTAAGATAATGTTTACAGTTAGCTGTATTGTGCACTTGATAAATAATGATTTATAATGATAACCGAGCTGACTGAGGATGATTAATAGGCAGCATGTAAACATTATAAATATATCTGTTTATTTAAGTGATATCTGTGTACCTTTTCGTTATTTTTATTAAAATAATGTCTATTAAAGTTAAATTTACCGATTCGCGTTATATTAATAATTGATAAAAACTACAAACAGACTGTATTTATTATAAAAAATTTCTTTAAAAATATTTTGTTAATTTTGTCTTCGATTTTATGACAGATATGATAAATTTTTTGTGCTTACTAATAAATTTTCTAGGTTATGTGTGTGTGTTGATATATTTAATATTTTATATTTTAAATAATCATATCAGTTTCTGAATTCATATATATATGTGTAAATTTTTATAGGGATCGGTTATTATTTGCTATATAGTTTAAGCATATGATTAAAATGACACGTTTTAAATCTTGACTATATATTTTAGATCTACGTTTTTGACGCTTTAACTTTGTTATTGAATTATGTTTTAAACTTTTGTAAGGATTTTCTGTTGTTATAAGTTTTTATATTTTAAAACATAAATATACTAAAATAAATACAGAAAAATATCTCAAAAGCTATTTATTTTTTGATGATTTTATTTTAATATATATTTTTATATATCATGCGAAGGCGCATGTTTTCACAGTGACATTTCTAAATTTTTATAATATCTTTTTAGGTCTCTGTTACGCCGAATTCGGCGCACGAGTACCTCGCGCAGGATCCGCGTATATTTACAGCTACGTGACAATAGGCGAGTTTGTAGCATTTCTTATGGGTTGGACCTTGATTTTGGAGTATGTGATTGGCTCGGCTAGTGTGGTACGTGCTCTCAGCACTTACGTCGATGTACTCTTCAATGACAGCATGAAAAACTTCTTTGGATCGGTGATGCCTATCAATGTCGATAGTTTATCGTCATATCCGGATTTTTTTGCGCTTGGCGTTACTCTAATTTTCTCAGGTGATAAGACATTTTTTTTCAATCAATCTAATCAAATCTCGTATGTTGTAAGTAAACAAAATGATTCTGATAGAATTATATAAAAAAACACATATAATATCTTTTCTCGTAACATAAAACACTCCAATTTTGTAATATCGATTTGTTAATTTGTTACACAATTTCTTGATAGTCATAAAAATATTGAAAGCAGTATATAATTTCATTTTCAGTCGCTCTTGCTTTCGGAGCCAAGGAATCTTCGATGGTGAATAATATATTCACTCTGGTGAACCTGTCTGTTGTACTTTTTGTCATAATTGCTGGTTCCTTGAAAGGTAAATACTCTTTCAATTCGACTCTATTCCGTGTCTTCTTACGTCGAGTTAATAGTCAGTTTGCTAATTATTTGTAAGCTGTTCCAAATGTTATAATTTCTTTTAATAATGTACTTTGTAACTTTTTTATTGCAAACTGTGATATTTATATTAATAATTTATGTTAATAATATTATTAATGATATTATTAATAATATTATTATTGATATATTATTAATAATATTATTATTGATATATTATTAATAATATTATTTTTGAATTTAAAGAATTATTTTTGAGCACGAGTGTGGTGTAACAGACAGCGCACTGGTCTGATATACTAGAGATCCTGGGTTCGATCCCCGGCAGAACCGAAAAATTTTCATACACTCGTAGCTCCTCTCGGAAGGCAATGGCAAACCACCGAGTAGTATACTTGCCCAGGAAACCTCCCTACCAAAAATTGCCGTTCGGAATCGGCGTTTAAACTGTAGGTCTCCATTTATGTTATGTACAATCAGTGTGCGCGCAAAAATATGAGAGGGAGGTGCCTACGCGCTGAGATAGCGTATGGCACCTGAAGAAGGAATTTAAGCTTCAAATCTCTACTTTTAAATGATTATTATATTTTTTTAATTTATATGAATTTTGTAATATTTACATATATACGGAAAAATCGACTACGTTTGCCACGACCAAAAGTCGCCCATCAATACATTTTTTTAATATAAGAACTGTAGTACGATTATGATAACCGTAAGATTGGCATATCTTAACAGTTATGGCTGTAAAGATATGTCCATCTTACGGTTATCACAATCAAATGTGTTAATGGGCGAAAATTATTATTATTTCCGGTTGTGGCAACCATAACATTTTTTCTGTGTAGAAAACTATGGACTAAAAAAAATGAAAAATTTTCTTTTCACTTAGTAGCGTGTGCAAAAACAATTTGGGCAAATTTTCAACTATCTATCCAGAAAGCTTAAAGCTTTCCCTACAAAATTGTTTTTAACAGGTTCCTACGATTTTTTATTTCTGAGTTACTCGTGGATTAATTAAAAAGGAACATTCTAACTTTATTACTTGTAACTCCGTTAAAAATTATCGTATCGGTATTAAAAATACGAAACGTTGCTCTATCACGTGGTGTAATTGCCAATTTTTATAAAATACAATATATGGGTTGTACGATTGTATGATTGTACAATCACAGTCCACGCATAGGTATATGAGAGAGAGGCGCCTACGTGCTAAGATAGCGTACATGGCACTCGAAGAAAAAAAGAATTATTTATTAGTTGAAATAATATAGGGTTGAAACAAAAGTTCGCTACGAATTTTAAAACTCAAACAGCTGTAAAAAAAGGCTTTGTTTTCAACTTTCTAACGTGAAAGCTTAAAATTTTTTCTACATAATCGTTTTTTTTTTTAATGTTACTAAGCTTTTTTGTTACACTGAGTTATTGGATTAAATAAAAGGAGCACTTTTACTTTAACTAATCATAACTTCGTCATCGTTAAAAATCATCGTCCCGCAATTTATAAAACATTCTTAAAGCTGAAACTTTGCTCTATCGAATAGTATAATTGTCAAATTAAAAAAAATATTTTTTTTTAAACATGTAAGCATGATACAAATGAAGTAGCGTTACGAACTTTTGTTCCAACCCAATATAATTATACATAAATATACATTATAATATTTATATATGTATATATAATACAACATAAAATTTGCAATGATTTATAGCTGACATTAATAACTGGAAAACGGAACCCAGTTGCACCGAAACAGACTGCGAGAACGGAGAAGGGGGATTTATGCCTTACGGTGTATCAGGCATTATAACAGGCGCGGCTGCATGTTTCTACGGATTCATCGGTTTCGATTGCGTGGCCACCACGGGAGAAGAAGCTAAGAATCCACAACGGTCCATCCCTATTGCAATTGTCGCGTCACTAACGATCGTCTTTCTTGCATACTTCGGTGTTTCCGTAGTGCTTACTACCGTGGTACCGTACTACGAACAAAATCCCGAGGCACCATTCCCGCATATATTTGACGTTATAGGATGGGAATGGGCCAAATGGTTCGTGACGATTGGAGCGATTAGCGGACTATGCGCTAGGTAATATCGTTTACAGTTGCATCAATTTAAAAAATTTATATATTTTTTAATAAAATAAAGTAGTAAATGATTTTCACATACAGATCTTTCAGATAGATCTGTAGATGTAATTCTTTTAAAATGTTTTTGATTTACAAACATCTTTTCGTATTTCGTTTTGTATTATAATCCGTCTTATTAAAGGATCTCTTATTAAAATAAGGATAAATTAATATTTTCGTTTATTGACTAACTATTTTAGTCTGTTAGGTTCGATGTTTCCGCTGCCGCGAGTGATTTATGCCATGGCTTCAGATGGACTGGTCTTCAAATGGATGGGCAACATAAATTCCCGGTTCCAAACTCCTATTATGGGCACGCTTTCCGCTGGGCTACTTACAGGTCCGTAATAATAATTGTCTGAAACAATTATTTAACTAATAATTTCTTGAAACAACTATTTTATCGCATAATTAATTATATAATCATTTAATGACATATTACAGGCATTCTAGCAACGATATTTGAACTCGATCCACTAGTTAAAATGATGAGTATCTGTACGCTCCTTACATATTCAATTGTTGCATCTTGCGTACTTATTCTACGGTAAATTGGAATTTATAACTTAATTTTGTTTATGTAAATAGGATTATATTGAGTTAAATTGATTTTTTTAAGAATTGAAGTTGAAAATATGTAAATAAATTTAATTGAACTGATAATAAGATTAAAAATAAATTGAATAGATTAATATCGATGACAAAATCCTTTTTGTCGATAACAAATCTATTTTTTTGTAGATATGAGGAAAGCGAAGCATACGAGAAGAAAGGCGACCATAATCCACGGACTTTCGTATTTATCGTAAAACAATTGATAAGTGCAAACAAATTAAACCATTCTACGAAACTCACAGCGCAGATTGTTACTGCCTTAGTATGCTGCTATAGTAAGTCTTATTATTATTTTAATAATAAACATCGACATTTCACATGTTTCACGTAAATTATTAAATTTTTTGCAGTTGTTCTTTGTATCTGTACTGCCATATTATTATCGATGTATGCGATAGAGATCGCCGCAGGAAAAGTCGCTGTCATAGTGCTACTTGTAATTTTAGTCATTGGACTCGTGATCACTCTCAGTTTTATTTATTTTCAACCAGTCTCCGACAAGAAACTCGCGTTTTCGGTATGTATGTTTTTTATTGTTACAATTTCTTCGTTAGTATTATCTTGTTAATTCTTAATTTGCGACATTAATATAAGAATATTAGATTTTATTTATTTCTATTATTATTGAATATTTTTTACATGCAAACATCAAGGAGATTCTGAAATCATCAGTGTGCTTCAAAATTTGTACATGTGATATTGATATAGTAGCATATAATACTACTATATTGACGTATCGATGTGTTATAAATCGTGACAATATTATTGTAAACCATGTGTAAGTCGATAAAATAATGATCCTATTCGGTCATTTTGTCAACATCTCCTTGAGCATATTACGTTAATGTTGATAAGGGATACTATACAATTGATACTCACCGATTTTTACGAAACTTTGCTATGAAAATATCCTCAAAATGAAAAAAATAATGCCACTTTTATCAGCAATTGTCAACGCGACAGATTGTATCCAAGAAGCCATATGGGTTGCAATCTGATAAGTGCTATTAACATTCCATGTTGTTTTTTAACCATATTGTTTCTTAGCATTGATGATTGTCAATAAAATTGACATTGTTACTTTTCATTTTGAGGTTGTTTTAACTAGTACAAATTTCATCAAAATTTGGGTATATTAATTAGATAATGTTCCTTGCAAGTATCTCATCTCAGATCTTTATTTCTCAATGAATTGTTATTTAATTTTTATTTTATTTTTTATTATTGATATTTTCAATTTTTCTTTGTGAAAAATATTGTAGGGTAAAAGATGAATAGGAAAAACGAATAATAACATTGCGAATTAATGATTAAATGGCATGTTAGGAAACAATAAAAAAAATTTATTAAATAGGTCTTACATTTTTTTGTCAGGTGCCGTTTGTGCCGTTTTTGCCAGGATTCAGTATTCTCATTAATATTTATCTTATGATGACGTTGGATAAAGACACATGGATATTATTCTCCATATGGATAGCAATTGGTAAGTGTATTACGAGATGAATATAAATGTTTACAAATACGCGTTAATATACATTTGATTGTTTTAACATGCTCTATTGCAGGCTTGGGCGTATATTTCCTGTATGGTATGTGGCACAGTCATATTCGACATAAGAAATTGTCAACCAGTAATGACAAAGGTGTTGACTTTTCCCATATTACATAATAAAATGAAACACTATAATAATATCCTGGATCAGTTTAATTTATTAATATGACTCATCAGATAATAATTTGATAAATTTTTAAAATAATATATTATAGAGAGTACGAGTATTCCATTTATAATACTTGGAAGGTATTCACTATGGTCTGGTGCAATTGTAAAATAAAAAACTATTTTGTATATTTGTCTTTATTTTATATTTGAGAATGTCACATTGATGTATAAAATATGGCAAAAATTTTAATTATTTTAATTACTAATTATACTTTTTGCTATGATATAGTTACTACATATGTATTTTACTATGATCTACGTTTCTAACAAAACTTTGTTTAATTTCCACAGGGGATTAAAATCTTCCAAGTATTATTAATGTAAAATAACCCAACCAGCACACATATTAAATAAACATTTAAAAAATGTTTTGCAAATGCAAATTTGTATGCTTATTGGGAATATTTCACATACATTTCACATATATTACATCTCTATGTGAAATTAATAATGATGAGAACAAAATATATTGCATGTAAATTCTATGAATTTAGTATTTAAAAAATTGGAAAAAATATTTAGATGTGTGTGCTATTGTGTGTGTGTGTGTATGTGTGTATTATATACAATATACAATACAATATAATAATATTATATGATATATAAATGTTTATATATATCACACATTAGATGTTTAATTTTTATACGGTAGAGATATTATATGTAATAATTTAAGTAAAGTAAAAACATTTTATATTTATTATATTGTAGTCTATTTCTCACAAAATTACTTGTTTTACTTGTACGGAATGTTCTTAGGTTAAACCGTCAAACTTAATATATGAGTTTAAATATCTCTTAATTTTGTATGAAGTTGTTTTAAGGTTCTAAATTTATATTTCATGTTTGGCGGTTTAATGCGGAAACATCCTGTAGAATACAAATGATAGATTTCAAACAATATAATGAACAAGAAAGCAAAGATTTGAGATTGTTTAACGAGAGTTTCGTGATACTTTGCTTTTATCATTTTTCAATACATTTTTCACTATTTTAAACTCTCATTCCTGTAATTTATATGTATTTTATACGTTTCTATGTTGTATTAATAAATAAATAAATTTGAAAGATGAGCGTTTAATATTAAAACCCCGATATTAAAAAGGTATGTGGAAATAAAACACAATGGTTGAAAAGGCGAGTGTATCTGCGTACGTGCGCTTTCTTGTTGCACAAAATTATCTATTAATCTAGATAAACATTGCGATAGTCAGCAAGCAAATAGCGATAATCGGCGATTATTCTGCGAAATTTCTGTAAATATAACCTGACTATACCAATAAAAGAAATTAAGATATTACTGCTGAAAGAATTTCGGATCACTCAAGGCAGGTTCTACTGCTTTTATTTTTGCTCATCCGTTGTCTGCGTTCTTTGTTACCGCTATTGTTTTTTCTATCAAAGAATTAGGAGTTGCAAAATTGATGGAAGTCCAGAGTGACAAGCATCTTTCTCATAAAACATTTGGAAGAGACAGCCAAATGAAATCGCAGAGGAAAATCTGGTTAGACATATAGCATTAACTGAAGAGCAGGGGACCCGAAGTGACTAAAGGAAGCCCTGTATTACGCGATTGGAGGACGTTATATCGCGTGGTAACTTATTGATAAGGATTGTTTGTCATGTACATATATGCGATACAACATATTTTATCTGGTTTTTTGTTTGATCATATCGTAGTATCAGGAAAGGTTCAAACATTCACGCAACAAAATTATAATGAAAAATTTCTAAACGTTTAATTTATAATAAATAACAAAATGTTAATATTTGAGGAATTATGTAAAAATATTTCTTTTGATTTTTTCACATGACTACAACAGGAATGCAACTACCAGCGATGGTAGATAAAATTATTTATATTTTTCAATCTGTTGATTGGCATAATCGATGTAGGCTTGCTTCGCTACTTCTTGCGAAGTGCCCTTCTTCTTATTCCAGGCTTCCCATTTGGCTTTCCCTTTCAAATCCAGCATACCGGGTTTGGCTAAAATATATTATATAATATACATTATTAATATAATATAATAGTAATCATTTATTTTATACAACAATTTATTACAATATTATATATTTTATTTAAATTATTTATATATAGCATATATTGTAAAGCAACAGAATAAGTATATAAATAATTAGTTTTCTGTGATTTAACTAGAAAATAAATATAATTTAGCAAATATAATTACAATAAAATTAATGTAAATATACAATTAATTAAATAATTACAATTAATATATACAAGATGAATCAAAGTAGTTGATTATGTTTTTTACTCTATGAGAAAATTATCGATTACACATCTAACTATTGACTTAACGATACAAGTCGGATGCGTGGATAACATCGTGCGAACTGCTAGTTTAAGCGCGAAAATAGACACGTTTGAGTTATGAAAATTGTTACAAGATATTAAAAATACGAAGTATAAGCGTATTCAGGCCTATAGGTCAAAGCTAGATCTTTTTTGCCTAAATAATTCCCAGTGAATTATCTACATCCTATATATGTACATGCATATAAATCATATTTTTGTAGCTATTCAGATATATATGCATGTACAGGGTGTTGCAGATACATATTAGGCAGTACGACGAGTTGCGTGGTAAACTTTGCATGGGCAGACGCGGTTTTATATAGACAATGACAGTGACTTTATAACATAAACTTTATAATATATAGTCACTGTCATTGTATAATGTAAAGTCACTGTTATTGTCTATTAAACCACGCTTGGCCATGCAAAGTTTGCCGCGCAACCCATCGTACTGCCTAGTATGTATTTGCAACACCCTGTACATATATAGGATATAGATAATTCACTGGGAATTATTTAGGCAAAAAAGATCTAGCTTTGACCATCATAGGCCTGAATACGTTTATACTTAGTGTTTAGTTCTTGTCGGTCCGAATAAAAAAATCTTATTATTGATTAAAAATACGCTTTTCCTCACTGCGTCCAGCAATTCGCACGATGTATCCAGACATCTAATCTGTATCGCTAATATTAGTCGAAAGTTAGATGTGAGATCGATAATTTGTTCGTAGGGTAAAAAATTAATTCAACTACTCTGATTCACCCTGTATATATTATATATATATATATATATATATATGTGTATATGTCAAATGTATATGAATATGCGAAATTTAATGTTATCATTAATCATTATATGTGTAATTTCATGACATTAATATAGAAACTTACATGTGTTATTGTCGCCAACTGTAGCTTGTTTAAATAAAGCATAAAGCTCCAAAAGCTCCTCGTCAGTAGGACGTTTTGTAAGCGCCTTTACAGCTTCTGCAGCCTCTTCAAATTGCTATAAGAAAAGTACAATTTTATTATTTTTATGTAATATAATATTTGTATATATTAGTAATATTAGTACACATTAATAATATATTATTATAATATTTTAATATTTACATATAACTATAATATTGCATAAGAGAATGTTAAAAAAGAGTGTTCATCAAAGATACATGTTTGTCACTATGTATCTCTACAGCTTATTATGTATATTAGCTTATAAATATGGATTACGCTCAGAAAAGGCTACGAAAGTGACCTTTGAATCGTGGATGACTCTGCATTAAACTCTTTAAAAGTGATCTTTATTGTTAACTAAATTTAAATTTACAAGCCAAAAATCATGCACTTAAAATTGTTAATATCAGCAATTATATAAGTAATTCGTAATATTTAGTCATATAATTTTTAAGATCGCAATGAACAAATTCAAAATTGTTGAAAGTTCGGAACTTCCAAACTTTCTTCAGCTGAATACACCCAGATTAAATGATAATCTACTGACTGTCCCAAATTTCTCTTCGGAGAAATGCATACGATAATATTGTGCACGGTCACAGCTTGTAATCAACGAAATTAGTATGCTGTGTCGCCAAGTCAATTTTCGCGGCTTATTTCCGTTTTGATCAATTCGTCGACATCTTTTTGATGCAGTCTCTAATTTTAAACTTCGGAAAAATACGAAGAATGTATTTTTTATATACAAAATGCGAAAACTACTCTCTTTATGTATACAGCATTAATAATGCATTTTTTATACATTGTCACAATGAAAAATAAAAGAAAGATATCTGCGATACCTGATCGAGAGACATCCTTATAGTTGATCGCACGACTGTACTGTAGGTATTATAAATACTTTGTGACCGTCGATCGAATGCTTGCACGAGTGAAAAACGCTAATCCCCACCTCACAAATTTATCACGATATGTAAATCAAGGTCGAACGACATAAACTTGTTTCTTTTTTCGAGATAGCTTATAATAATAGATAGCTATTTAAATTAATGTCCTTAAATGAAAATTAAGTAGGATTTTATTTGAACAAATTGTCAACTTTTTATATTATCATAGATATCTCGATAACTAATTCTCAAATTATATTATAATTCACTGGATTAAATGAAGAATAAAATGCATTTCTAAGATCAAATTTCCCAAGAAAGTTTATTCTCTTTATTTATTCGATCACATTTATGACTTAATATAATAGTTGAATCAGTTGAATTTCAGTGTTTTAATCGAAAAATAAATTTCTCAATCGAGCTTTGTTCGATCTGTTTTAATTCAGAAATAAATTTCATGTAATTTGATTTTTGACTTAAAAAGGACAAATAAATAGAGATGATTTGATAGATGAAGTCTGGGATATTTCGTGTTTTTAAGTGTAATGCAATGTATAAACTGGTTCTAAGATCAACCGTAGAAAACCCCGTTATAGGCAATCGTCATAGACGACATTCGTCTATAAATGTTTTCGTGACCTCCCGACATACAAATATTTTGAAACGAACAATACTGAACACAGACATTCTACGTGTTAATTAAGAAAATTTGTATAAAGAAACGCATAAATTAAAAGGAATTAAACAACATGAAAATTCTCATTTTGGGAATTTATGAATCTCAATCTTCGAAATCAGGAATTGAGATAATAATTTCTGACTTTTCTGTACTATAATCTATCCCTTTTTTTGATTGTTTTTCTCACACAATTAGATAATTTGATTTATAGATTTTAATAATCTCATTATGCTTTATATATAATCGTCAAACATTTCTAATTTCTTGAATTATTTAATTTTGTGGAATTTAATTTTACAAAGGGAAAACGATCGCCGACTAATTCCTTTTAATTCATCTATACTTTTTGCGTGAAAATAAAGCATTACCTGATCGACCGACATCGGGATGTGAATCTGCTTCGTGTGCAAGCTAACTGTCTACTGACTGTAGCTAGTAATCACGATTCTACGCTTCCCGATTGTCCGCGCTGGCGAGTTTATTACTCTAGCGAGGTGGGGAGCGCAGTTTTCGATCTTGTACTGATTATACAGTACTATGGTTATTACGAACGATTACATACGCTAAAAATCGAAGTGTATAAAAAGACTGACTGTAATATATGCATATGATTAATTTTTTATATGAAAATAACATTATATCATATTATATAAAATGTGTAAATTTTTGTATGCAGCATAATATTTTTTGTTTTTACACGGAAAATCAACATATATAAATCACACATATATATTATAGTCACTTTTTACACACATGGATTTGTAGTGTATGTTTAATTGCGGCTCAAAGTCTGTAGGTAGGTTATAATCGAGACGTAAAAAAAGTTAACAATTTGTCTAATAATTTGAGTTATTTCAGATTTAAACAATTATGCGTGATACAGATGAATATTGCAAAAAATTTGATTTAACAAGATAAATAAGCATTATATGCAAAAATTAATAATTGCTAAGAAATGTGAGGATACATTTATATTCACAAAAATTGCAATTAAATACATGTGCAATGATTGCACATATATCTCATTGCCTTCCAACATTACATCAACAGTACTCGTCTCACATATCATAATTTGATCGTCTAATTGAAGTGGAGATGGTCGCGCAATTGCAATTAATTCGTTCCTCGATGTGTTGTCAAATTAGTCATAGCGTGACAACAATGTGAACAAACTAACTATAGGTAATCTACAAATCTACGCGAACGAGATAATGATTGTGTGTACCATAAACTCGAGACCAAAGATATATATATATATATATATATCAAACATTAAATAATATAGGATAATAAAAAAAAGGATAGGCATGCACATCTCAAGTGTTCATCTAAATCTCTAAATAATAGATACTTGTGTACACGTGTATACAACGTGTATTTAATTTCAAGATTTATTTGAAAAATAAACTCTAGCCGAAGAGGTAGTCACGTAACATAATACTGATGAACTTTGTAAAAGTGGCACGCAATATTATTCACTGTCTGTTTTTGTCCTTGTTTTCTTCTTGGTAACAGATAACTCGATCGAACGTATCATATTTTATCATGCTCCACTTTGCAAGAGGAGTCTTCTCTGAAATCGTAATTTCACTGGTCCTTACACGCGTTGTTCGGAGGAGAACGAACGGGGCCAATGTGCCACATCAGCACCGCAGACTCACCTGTGCAAGAATGTCGGAATTCCTGTCTACCTCTGACGCACGGTTTATAACCTTACACGCACAGATATACATATGAACGCCTCTATATGTATACATACAATATTACAATATTACTTACAATATTACAATATTACTTTATGCGACGCAAAAAGTAATATCGTAATAAAATTTGCACTACACAATACTTTAAATAACTTCTTAAATAGACTCTTAAAAACAAACTCAAAAACATTACGCAATTTACGTATGCTTGCAAATAAACGACATTCAGAATATCGTAATTGAAGTATTTTTACTCGTAATCGCTTTTCAATAATTATATCTTAAAATTATATGATTTGTGTCGTAATTTATTAATATAAAATGAAATTAATATTATTATGCAAACAATATTTCGGAGAAGTGACAGTAAAGCGGGTATAATATTTTATTACCGTTGAGATATATATGTAACATTAATGATTAAACGCTATGTATCTAAAGTTGTCTTTTAATGCATTACAACTCACATCGCAACATCTATTTAATTGATTCCTCTACAGCATAAGTTTAACATTGCAGCAATATTGCAGAGATTTTGCAGCGATATTGCTGCAAATTCTGTGATGTATGGGTAATTATAATTAACTTAAATGAATAATTAATTTTAAAATTTTTGCTGTAAAATGTTGCGAAAATGCGACGAACGCATAACGCACAAAAGAATCTCATTACATATGTGGGAGTCAGCAGAAAGTTTGATTACGAAAACGGGCAAGCACGAGAACGAAACGGAGAAATCCCTGAAGAAAGAATGCGGAAACACTGCTGAACGATATTGGACACGCTATATGCAATTTGCTTGTTTCTCATCAATCGCACATCCGTCACTGCAGTGATGCATTGAGTTGTAAAACTGACATACTGCAAACATTTAATAGAAAGTAAAATTTTATTATAGGAAGTATATTTGAAAGAGAAATTTTTGATATGAATGTTTACGCTTTTGTACAATAATTCTGCGGTTAGAGTAAAAGTATAATTATAAATAATTTAAAATGTTTCTTTCTTCTTGAGTTTATCTTGAAATCTGCGAGTTACTTTCACTCGAATATTGTTCTTTATATCATGAACTTAAAATAAATTTTAGAACCAAGATGATACTTGCTTTAAATTACTTACAATTACTGTCAAAATTTTTTTAGGATAGAATTTTATTCATATTTTAATAAACCATGTACAAAAAGAAGAATTAAAAAATTCTGTATATAAAATTAATATTAAAATACACATGTATGTACATAAAAATATACGCACACAAAAAAATTTTAAATAGAATTTTATGCTAAAATCTAATATAAATTATAGATAGTCAAAAATTAACTTAATATAAAAAATAAAGAAAGATAATATTATTATAAAAAAAGGATATTATTGCATTTCCAGAAATATAATTTTGTCTAAATATTCAAAAGTAAATTATATATATATATTATTGGATTATAAGTATTAAGTATTTAATGATTAGTTTATGTATTAAATTATAAATAATGTATTTTAAAATTGCATACAAGTCAAGTAAAAGCGGAATATGAAACTTTATAAATATTTTAACAACAGACACGTCTGAAAGAAATTTTTGTAATATTGGCAGTTATCAATCGATACCGACAGAAGTGGGGACCGATTATTATGTACTTGATTAAAATATCCACTGAATAAAATTTGATTTATCTTATCGAGTAAAGTGCAACAACTGATTTTTTTTCTGTTAAACGCACATATATTAACGTGTAAATTTAACGAACAATGTCGTACATTATACATAAAGAATCTTATGCAAAAATTACCAATAACAAATAACTGCAACTTTCATAAATAATCTGACGTGTAAATATTTTACAGAAAATGCGTTCATCGTATACGTATGCGAACTACGTGTGTATATATATATATATATATACATATATATTATATACAAGAAATTACATGATCGAGAAAAAGTCATTAAAGTTCCGGATCAATAATAATATTTGCTTTTGCAACATTTTGAACATGAATGAATAATTAGTTCATTATTTTAGTTTATTTCACTGTAATAATATTGTTATAAAAAAAAGGTAAAATTATCTTACAATTATATTACTTATTTATGAAAACCTTATTTATAAGATTAATAACAAATATAATACATTTATGCACATGTTTTCTAATGTTACATAAATTAATAATATAAGTAATCTATTTAATTAAGCAGCTGCAAAATTCTAATAATTTTACGATATCTCAATATGATATTTTTAATTATTACACGTTTAATGAGAAAAGACTTAAATGTTTTGAGCAACAGCGTCATTAAATTATTTTTTAGAATTAACCTATCATTTCTTTTCTTAAGGGCAGATAAAAAAATTCTACAAATTCATACGAGTGCTGAAAAGAAGCACGCGAGAATCCATTGAATCCATGCGATTCATGGATCACTGATCTATGTACTACGGTACTGATGCGCGAACCTTGTCGAGGAACGCCGAGCGGTACCGACAATCCTCGAGCCTGTTACGCGGGTTTAACTTGTACGCCGCGTACACACAGAGTGCTCCGAAAATCCGGCGCGAGTACGGCCGCGTGATTGTCGCCGCGCAGTGCGCACACGCGCGCGATCGCTCGGTCATTGACGATCGATCGTCAACGTTAGCCGGACCGTCGCGCGATCAGTCAGATCAGTGCGCATCGCGCCGCATGATCGTACGTTTCGTTTCGTCGCGTCGCGTAGCGCTCGTCGTCGGACGAGTGCACGTGCGGCGCGCTTAGTGAAATACGTACAAGAGTGCGAGATATAAATTCCTTGCTTCATAACAGTCATAACGGATCCGCACTTCTTAGAGAAGGTCGCAGCGAGAAGACGGTGAACGGTGCGCGAAACTTCGACGGGAAATCAAGCGGAACGAGCACCGCGATCGTCGTCATCCTTTCCGCAAAGTGACGAGTTTTGCGCGACGTGACGTGACTGATGAATTAAGAAGTAACGGCATGGCAATAACTCGCCGTCGCACAGCTGTTTTGTGCAAAACGTGCGATTATTTTGAATGTTTGATTAAATGAAAAAAATTTAATAACTAATGTTTTATTTAAATTGATAAAATTTTAATAGACATTTGATCGAACGCGAACATAAATTTCATATCGATATCGTATATCAAAAATATTAAATATTTATTCATTCTATTTTTATTAATATGTTTTGTATGTATCGATTTATGCACGCAACCTACTGTTATTATATTGGGGATTAAACTATTTGATAATTATCGTAAAATTAAAAAAAAATGATAATTGTCGTTTGGACTCGTTTATTTATTGGAATTTTATTGCATCGTCATAGTTACTGAATGGCTTCAATTAACCTACTTAATCGAGATAAAAGCAAAAATTAGTTTCATAACTGAATAAACTAGAAGAATAATCTGCTCAGCAACTGAAACGAACTAAAGTAATGATATAAAGTCTGTCACACAATCGATTAAAAACGATCAGTTCAGTTGTCTACCAGAGAAATTAAAGCTAATGAAAGAGAAATGTAATTCATCTAGATATACTTATACATTTAGTTTGAATTTATTTGATAAATCAGTAAGAAATGGGCGATTTTTACTCCAATAACAGATTTAATTTCAATCGAATTATACGCATATTATAATCCTCTAATAACGGATTATAATATGTGATTAGATTATTAAAAAAAAGATAAAGACGAAGTGCCTTGTTTCCTGTGAATTAATAAAAACTGCAATAAGCAGTTCATTCTTCGTCAGTTGCCCAT